CCGCGGGCGGCGGCGGGGGCCCTCGGGGGCGGCGGGGGCGCCGTGCGCTGCGCGGGCTGCCCGCCGCTCGGTTCTGTAAATACAGATGCGTTTGTGTTTATATACACCGTCATCTGCGAGCGCCCGCCTTGTCGGTGCTCACGGAGCGCCGGGGCAGTCCTGGAAACGCCGCGGGGTTTCTCCGCAGCGGGCTGCTAACTTTCGCCTTTCCGGAGGCTGCATCACCTCAAGGCTGTTTCCGAAGCCTTTTTTCCAGCCCAGATTCCCCGCCGGAGCGGGGATGCTTTGGGTCAATCAGGTGGTGCCCGCGGGCGCCTCGGGGAACGCAGCTACGCTGGGCAGCTGCGGCGGGAGCGCCAGATCGCGTCCAACACACCGAGCAGTGGGACAGCACGAGTGCCCTTCAGCACCGCCGCCGGCTGCTCCCATACTGGAGCAATCTGGAATTAAAGCTCCAGCTTTTTTTCAAAAAGGAAAACACTGCTCTCACACTTGTCATGCAAGTAGAATGCATGTAGAGCATGTGACCTTGTGACAGGATTGAAGTGCAGGGCCTTAACAGTGTGGAAAAGATACAGTGAAAGCTAAAGCCACTTTTGATTACAATGTTTGCAATGGGCTGAGTACCTGCAGGCTGGTTTTGTTGTCCTGATCCGTGAGCTGACAGGATGCAAGCTCTCTTTATGGTGAGATTAGTTGTGCTAACATTGACTTTAGGTTTCTGTTGATTTGTGTTTGGAGCTCAGAAGAAAGCCTGTTTGGCTGAAGTAGTGGTGCTAATTAGTAGCGTAAAGAAACCTTCCCGTGTGTAACGAGTGGCAGGAAAGGCCCACGGCTCTCCGGTTGTCGCTGCCGTGCAGCAGAGGAGGGTGGTTCTGCCTGACTCCGCGCCGCGTTGCCTCCAAGGCAGCACGTCCTAACAGGCCTGCCCTGACGCTCCTGAAGGTGCTTGTTTTCTGCTGGAACGTTGTTTGTTTGTTTTGAAACAGGTGGAGTGGCACCCCACTCTTCTAGATATCCCTACCCAGACTAAGTTTGATTACACAGTGACTGACCTCAATGGAAACCCCCGACCTCCCTCACCCGATGATGAGCAATACAAAAAGACGGTATTTAAGGTGAGGCTCCCTGTCCTGGTTCTGTCATGTTCCCTCCAAAGATTTGCTTATTCCCGTGTTTCAAATGGGTCTCCTCCCTTCTCTCTGTTCAGGGTGGTGCAATTGCAGGACAGCTGACCACAGTCGGGATGCAGCAGATGTTTGCCCTGGGGCAAAGGTTAAGGAGACGCTACGTGGAAGAAGCCAACTTCCTCTCACCCACGTTTAAGCCTGCGGAGGTCTTGTGAGTGTCTCGGTTCCTCTCTCTGGACCTTTCCTGTTTCCTCCCTTCCCACAAGTGCTGCAGTGCTAGGGCCTTTCCAAGCAGCCTGCCCTGGCTCTCCCACCCAGCTGCCCCCTGTGCCTTGCCTTCTGCCTCAGGCTGCAGAGCCCAGTATGGGAACTGGCCCAAGGCACAAGGCATTCAGTTTCCCAGCAGTGCTGAAAGCCCCTCAGGGACACATCCATCTCGCCTAGGTTTAGCCATTGACAGTGGTGTTAGGTAAACTGCCTTTATGGTAAGTGAAGAGAAATAGGTGTTTCTTGAGCACAGCTTCACTCACTGTAGAGCAAGCAGCCAAAGGTGAGTGAGATGAAGAACATCCTTGCTGCTCACATCAGTAGTGCTGGAAGCGTCTCGCTTTGGATGAGATAAATCACACCTAACAGGTGCCCATTTGTCATCTCCACTTTCTCTGAAGAGAAGCTAAGTGGCAAGTCAGACATAAGTGTATGTTTTCTTAAGACTTCCGTAGCAAGGGGAGACGAATCCTTCTAAAGCCACAGAGAAGGCAGAACCCTCCATTCCAGTAAGTCCTTACCAGCTGCGGCCCTGGCCACAGCAAGGAGAAGGTGCTGCCTCACAAGCTGCTTCCTCTCTTTCAGTGTCCGTTCCACTAATATTTTCCGGAATCTGGAGTCCACACGGTGCCTGCTAGCTGGACTGTACCAACAACAGAAAGAAGGTTAGGGGAGACTTCCAACCAGTTCCTTTGCTTTCTCAGCCTTCCCTAGATGCGCATATCTCACATCCCAGTTTCCCTTGGCTCCTGGTTGTTGCCTCTTCCTCTGTTCTTGGCTTGTACCCCTCTTCCCCATGACCTGCTGTTCCGTGTGTCCTTTATCAGCTTGTCACTTGCTCCCTCTCTTTATGTAGCATTCTGCTGGCGCCCAGCTTGGATCTGTTGCCATCAGTGCTGCAGTTTCAGATCAACTGAGGAGGTTAGCCTTTACCAGCTTCAGCAAAGAGTTCCAGGTTCACTGTTCACAAGATGCACTGTTGCATCTGGGAAAAAGCTTTTAGCAAAACCCAAGTATCTCATCTGTAGGAGTCCCAGGATCCTTCACAAGTTTGGCACTTGGAGAAACTTTTGGCTGTATCCTGTAGTTGGCAAATATTCATACGTTCTGTAACATGCTGTATGAATAGCTCATCTCAGTTCCCCAGGTATTCAGGTCTAGGAACAAATACCAAAGTGACTTGCCAGAGATTGACTCCTCCCAGCACAGAAACTGTTTTTCACCACACACAACTAGAAGGAGTTAACATGGCACTTAACAGACAGCCCACTGAAAACAAACATAGACAGAAACAAGCCTGGTGGATTGGGTTGAGGGTGGTAGCTCAGTGGGAATTGCCAGTTGACAGTAGTGAACTTGGGCCAAAGCCACAGATCAGGCTGTTTCATTTAGTGCAACAGAACTTCGGGGGGAATTGCTGTGCACAAGAAAATCAAAATTTGGTCTCAAGAGTGTGGGAGAGATTGAAGTACCTAGAGATGTGCAGTTGCTTCAAGGGTCATAGACGCTTCCTTCTTTCTCATTCCACAGGACCTGTCGTCATCGTCACCGATGAAGCAAGCTCTGAAATCCTCTACCCCAATTACCAGAACTGCCAGCGCCTGAAGTGCTTGACCAGGTACTTGCCAGCCCCGTGTGATTGCACTGCTCTCTCACTTCAGTGGTAGCAATTCAAAACAGCACATTTTCTTCACGTTTCCCAGTGTCTTGCCCTGCCAGTTACTGTTCTCTGGAAATGCTTAGACAGTTGTTGTGTAAAGTGGTAGGTGAGAGGAGTCAAATACTATGCAGTGGCACGAAAAGAAAGAGAAAAAAAGGTGTGTGTGTATTTGTCTAGGTAGAGAGGGGGGAGAAACGGAATGGGGGGAGGGCATTTGTCTGGTTTGGGTGTTTTTACAACTTTCCTGTCATATTTATACCTTCAAAAAACTGTATTATACTCAGCTTTGATACATCTAAGAGTCCCAACAAAGACTAGTTAGGGAAAATAAGAAATACACTGCATAAAAAGAACACGGTGGTTGGCAGAGTCAAGTATCCAATAAAGAAAACCCAAGTGTAAGCCAGGTTAGGTATGGGGAGTAATGCATGGAAATTAGAGAGCAGTGGCAAGTGCCTCACAGTGTTGTTGCATTATACGCTAGCATAGTTTTGTACAAAACTGTTAAAGAGTTATCAGCAGTCATTTGCAAAAACTTCACCATGGTGAGATGGTGGCTTCTAGAAGCAGCTCAGGAAAGGCCCAAATAATTCAGACTCGACTAGTAACGTGAACTTTGCAAAAAGCGAATAAAATTCGTCCCCACACCCACCCCAGCCTACCAACTGTCCAACATTTTGCCGCTGTGTCAAGGTATTTTTTAAGGTGCACTAAAAAGTATTCTCCCAGGTTACAGCTACCCTTCCCAAACATCTTTCATTTAGAAAATAAACTAGAGTGGTTCCTTAAATCAAACCCCCAAATCCCGTTATAAATCCTAAACCATACTACTCCTGCCCACTCCCTAACCAAGCAGGATCAAAGAAAACAAAAGAAAACCTATGTGCCATATCTGAAGTTCATGGCCAGCAGTGATACTTCCAGCTAAACAGCAGCTAAATGTTATGAAGTGAAGTTTAAAAGTGCATGAAGGGGTCAGATGGCTTCTAACAAAGGGAGTGGTGAACTTGTCACAAGTGGGTCTCTAGGTGCTTCACTTTGCAAACACCATACCAAAGTATTGTTATTTTTTTTCCTTCTTAATCTCCTAACAGGGAGGGGTTGAAGAATGCTCAGCTACAACCAGGTATCTCTGATGACTTGAAAACAATTAAGGAGCAGATGGGTATTGATGGTGATAAGTCCATAGATTTTTTTAATCTCCTGGATAACATTCTCGCTGAGCAGGTGAGCTGAGGCCTGTCTGCTGCGCGGTCGCAGATAGGAATCGTGCATGTGGAGAAGCCACAAAGGCACCAAAACCCACTGATGCCAGTGGGGGGCCCCATACCCTTCCATGCAGTCCTGCAAGCCTATAGGAATAGCATAGCCTTCCTAAGGGCAGCCTGCAATGTCAGCGTTGCTCGGGAGTGGCTCAAGACTCATCTCCCACATCTATGTCCTTACCTTAAAATCCAGTGGCTCTTGGAAGTGTAACAAGCAGAGCAGAGGGCAGTTGGGCTGTGTACTTCCTTACAAGTTGCATTCTTCTCTTTTGGCAGTTAGCATCCACAGGCGTCTTCGTCCTGGTTGTAGCACACTGCCCGTGGCCATATTTCTTGTGCTATTGGAGGGGAGTTGAATATTTGTGCAACTCTTAATAACCCATTTTTGCTGGAGCTAATGGTCATTAGACCTGTTGGCCTGTCTGTAAGTTAAATAGTTGAAGGCCTGTTATGCTCCTTTTACGTGTAAATGTAGCCTCAAGAACAAACATACATCCTTTTGGTACATGGAGCAAACCTGTATGTTTAAAAACCCTGCAAGGGGTGCACACTGTGGTACAAATGTTGTGACATGAGGAGCTGCCTCCTGTGGAAGGGCATGCATCTGTCTTCAGGTTGACTACCTGTTGTTACATTGCCTCCTCTTCCTCCAGGTGCACAATTTGCCAAGCTGCCCTGTGCTGAAGAGCTTCTGGGAGACGGTTGAGCGTCGTTCTGTTGACTCAGTGCTTTTCCTCCTGGAGGAGAGTTCGAGGTAGTAACCTGTAGCCTTGCTCCCGGCTGCGGGGGCTGTCGGGGGCCTGCACAGCGGGGATGAGCTACCCAGGTTACTGGGGCAGGTGTGAGAAGTCCTCGTGATGGGCCGTGTTCCCGCACCAGAGGTTCCTGCTGCTTCAGGAACTTTGTGCCTCAGCCAGCTCAGTGCAACATCCTGTGCCTCAGGTCGTAAGCGTGAGCTAGGCATGGGAATCCACCCTGAGCAGGCCAAGGTAAGGGCTTATGTCCCATTTTGCTGTGAGACTTGTGGAGGGAGTGACCTCCTCGCAGAAGCACCACTGAGGCAAGCGGCAAGTTGTGCGGTTGCCTCAGTTGTTTGAGTTAACCCATGTCGCAGTCAGAAGCAGAAGAGACCAGGAGAAGCCTCCAGCCTGAAGCTGAGGTTGCATGAGCAGGGTTGTCCCTGTGGACACACGGCTACAGTGTGAATTCCAACATGAGACAGTTTTTCCCAGGGAGGGCACCTGCACAGCTTGGTGGAGGAGTGTTGATGCTAGTGGAAGAGGTAGCGCCAGGCCCTGCACTCACACAGTACAGCTTGCAGGAGACCCAGCTGCTACTGCATACTTACCTTACCTGCTCTGCAGTACCTGTCGAGGCAGCTGGGCTGCTAGTCTAGCAGCAGTTTTCATCTCAGCTTCACTCACAGCTACTGTAATCACCAGCAATTCTCCCTTGGTGACTTAGGATGATCCCCTTTCCTGTTAAGGCAGTTGTTCTTAGCCTTTTCTTTAACTTACAGGAGAGATGCCAGGTACCGAGAGACTAAACTCCCCCAGTTTAGTCACATTCCAACACTGGAGAAAGCCAGTCAAGCTCATCCTCCATTCCCACTGTGGTGCTCATTAGATAGAGGGCATTTCTTCACACCAGAAACTGTTGAAATATCATCCATTCATTCAGTACTAGGATAAAAACAAATCTTTAAGAATAGCTGCTTTCTTATCCTTGCATTTCCCTTGCCCATGAAAAATAAACAAACCCCCCACCTTCAGTTGCAGTTTTGCAGTCAGCTATGGTTATCTTCCCTAGGGAAAATGCATGCATCCAAAATCACAGCTAGGGATACAAAATAGGATACAGAACACCATGGTTCTTCCTTTATGTGGACCACATCTGGTGAGACTGCCTTGTTAACACCTCTCCCTTCCCAGTCAGCAATCACATAAAAATCTCTGTGGTGACTAAGCAATTGTTGAAATAAAAAAGTAACTGTAGGAATCACATTTAATGGTTCTTAGCTGCATTCAGCAGACTGTCAATTTGTAAGAGAAAAGAGGATTCCAAGGTGTTCACCTGAAACTACCTAATTTGAAGTTTTTTCTTTTTTTTAAAAAAAAAATGCTAGTAGATTTATTTCTACCTCTTTTGTAGAGAAGTCCTTCAGATGAGTGTTGGTCTTCTTTTCTATACCTTACAGAAGAACATTATGGAAGCAACAGATCCCTTAACTCCAGCTGGAAAGGCCAGGTACAGGGCAGATCTCTTCTTCTAATCGTTATAAATTCTGACTTGCTGTCAGCATGAAGAGGTAGTTCAGAAGGATGTTGAACGTGTGGGTAAAGAGAATGAGCGCTTAGCCGAGAGAAAAAGCATGAGGGATACTGACTATCCATGGGGAACAGAGGTACCATTTTGAGGGTTTTTTTCCTTCCCTTTTTTAATCAGGAAGCTCATTCTCTATGCTTCTCATGACCTTACCCTTATTCCTCTGCTGGTGGCCCTGGGCACCTTTGATCACAAGTGGCCGCCTTACGCTGTGGACGTGACCCTGGAACTGTATCAGCACCAGCAGTCTAAAGAGTGGTTTGTTCGCCTGTCCTACCATGGAGAGGTAAGAGAAGAGCCCCCAGGAAGGTCCTCACGCATGTTATAGTCATTGAGTTCTGCCTTGCATTCACACAAAGCTGCCACACAAGACTTGTTCTGAGCGTGCTGTTGTCAGCCAGGTAACGCAGTCAGACGCTGGAGCATGTGCTTGCCAGCCAAGACACTTTTCTCTTGATGTGGCGGTTGACCTACTGTGAGTTTCAGGCAAGAAGTCTTTCAACGTCTGCCTCTGTGTTTGCCTTGACTAGCGTAGTTCCCTGCTGCAGAATGCATCATTAACAACAATAAAAAAGGCTAGCTGCAGGAAATGTGATTTTTGTCTCTTTGCCTTTGCAGGAACAGGTGGTGAAAGGATGTAGAGCTGGTCTCTGTCCACTCGAAGAATTTCTACAAGTTCTTTCACAATACGCTGTCAGTCCGGAGGAGTACAATAACCTGTGCTCCCAAATGGAGCACAGTCAGCAAAGTGACTCATAAATAGTTATCTTAAATTAAACTTATTGTCACAACCTTTGAGTATCTTTCTTTCCTTCTTTCTTTCCTTCTTTCTTTCCTTCTTTTAATTCTTCCCAGCCTTCCCCATTCCAAGCTATTTTAGATGAGAAGACAGGTTGCTACCAGACACATAGTAGCACAGTGTCTCTCTTCACTGTCAGCAGCGGGATAAAAGAAGCTGCTAACAGAATGGCTGGGGTGAACTTCTGGGGTAGCCATACAAAGGAATGGAGAGGCTGGAAGCAGTAAAAGAGAGAAGAGGCCTGTTTGAGTTGCCCTGCTGATTCAGGGTACGAGAGCGAACTCCCATGCTGGGAAGGTGAGATGAAGTCTGTGCTGCCAGACCTAAGGCCTTTGACATCACCACTGCTTTTATACCTGGAGAGCTGCAGAAACCACTGTCCCTTTCCCTTTCTTCATGTTCTAGAGTTGCTCTAGGGAGAGATTATCGTCCCAGATTGCTGGCATTTAGCTACTCCATCTGTTTGAGGGCACTTTTGTGCACACAAAACCTCTCTGAGGGGACAGACAGACTCCAAATCTCTTCCCTGCACTCCCGCACATAAGGGAGTTCTGCTGTGAACATGCAGAACCACCCCCGTGGGCCAAGCACAGGAACGCATGTTCCTGATGAACTCTGCTTAATGTGCTTTAGACAAGGAAGCCCAGGCAGCCTCTATTGACACTCACTTTGGCAGCACTGCATCTATTCTGTGCTTGCTGATACAGCATTGGGAAGATACCAGTACAGTCAGCACAAGTACTACTGGTTGTTTTACCTGAGATAGATAATGACACTTTTTCCCCTATAAGAGTATGAAGGGTGACTATGTACCTAAAATTCCTTAAAAAAAATCAGCAAGTAGAACTTGGGCCTTGTCCTGCTTTCTTTGGCGTTTGAAAAGACTACAGCAGGGGCACCACTTGGTAAAATGATCCTGCAGTTTTGGTTCGGTTATCTGTTCAGACCCAAGGAAAGCTGACTGCAGTCACATTGATATGTCACTGATGGACACACAACTGGAGGTGCTAGACCAGCTTCTCCCTGAGAAGTGTGGGCTGGATTTAGCTCTGCTCTTTTACCAGACTGCTCCCTCCAAAATTACATGTTGACATCACATACAGTGAACAGAATAATTTGAATACTAAAGACACTGCTGTATTCAGTAGAGCAAATGGAAGTCAAGAAAGCAAACAAAACATGGTTATTTTCCAACGAGTTCTTTACACAGCCTAAAAACATAACGTCGTTATATAAAAATCAATGCCCTACCATTGCTTAAGAACAGTGTGTTCTGCTCTAATCTCTCCCTCTTAAACATGTTATGGAGTATTTGTAAAAGAGGGATGGAAACATTCAGTATATGATAGTGAATTACCCTGACAGACATGGACTGCTTGGGAAATGGCACCAAAAACCTTGGTCACATCAGTAGACAAAACAAGACTTCATGTACCTTCTCCTACAACAGGAGCAAGAACATATTCCAGCAAACCGAACAGCAACCATGTGAAAAATGGCAACACAACCAAGATCTACGGATGTCAACATCACAAGCCCTTCCAAGTGCACAGTAGCTTATTAAAGGGCACTGCGTTCACACCATTAAAATAATCCAACTGCGCCAGGCAGGATAGCACACATTTCGGAAAGGGGAAAGCCTCTAAGAACAGGCCAGCTCCTTCCTGGCAGTGGCCAGGAAGACACCTCCTTGGAGGCACGGCTGTAAATGACTGTTTCCAAAGGGAGTAGCTGGGACCATGGAAGAGTTTTAAGACCAAAGGAAAGAGCTAGGCGGGAAGTGCCGAACAGCAAATACCATATGGAAGGGCTGAGGCATTTCTGAGAACATGGAAGAAATATTTCCAGAAACCAAGAGTTCCTTAAGGAAACAAGGACTCTACACAGGAATAGGTCTGCTCTCACCAAAAACTGGGAAAAAGACAAAACTGAGATGACAGGGAAGGGGGGACTCAACCATCTCAAGGCTGTAAATGCAAGAACTTCTCAAATCAGCTAAGTAATTCAACCCCAGGCTCCCTTATAAACTTGAACTGTAGCTGATAACTCAGATTAGTTTCCGTCCATCGCTGTTTTGATTTAATGCAGTTGACTCAGGCAGGTCAGTTTAACCTCACAGACTTTTATCTTTCTTTTTTTATCTTTCTTTTCATTATCATATACTGTGTTACATTTAGGGCAAGAGTAGTACAGTATGTGATGAGGAGGGAAGATGTCAACGCGAATTCAAAAATTTATTTTCTCCTCTCTTTTAGAGTTTCCAGTGTCCCAGTTAAAAGCCCATTTCCTTTCTTTCCCCACTTGTGCTCTGGCTCAAGACAAAGGCAATAGCAAGGTTAAAATCTGAGTGTGTAGCAACCTGCCCCAGTGAGGAAGCAGGTCTCCTCGTGAAGCACATTGAGCACAACGCCAAAGGTTTGCCAGCTGGAAGCCAAAGGGGATCAAGAGGACACTGAGCTCCTTCTAGTTTGCCAATAGTTCCAACATAGCTCAGCAGTTGGGGCTTGGGGTTTTTTAAGGCCTGAGAAACACCCCAGATGACATGCTTTAATTTTAAACAGAAACAGCAATAACAAAGTGTTACGTACCTACCACAACAACCAGCATTAGCAGAAATAATTGGAAACTATGTGAATTGGCAAAAGACTGAAAGATCTTTCAATAAGAGGTCACCACATCAGGAGAATGACACATCCAGCACAGAAATAAGATAGAAAATATCTTTTTTAGCTTGAGAATTATTACCAAGTCGATACAGTGAGGCATGCTCCACTAAATGCAGACCTATATTGAATAGGGACCATTTCTCCTCAAGAAAGATCAAAATAGGGAACAGTTTTCAGCAAACAGCCTGCCAAGACTGCGTAAGGAAAGCATTCAGACTCGCAAGTGCCGAGAGAGAGAGAGAGAGAGAAATCACTAATCAAATGTAGCTTTTTCTGCCATTGGAATGAAAAACAGCACAATAGGCAATCAACATACCAAGCACCACGAGATTAAGTCCTGTACACAGAGTATTTGTAACAGCCTGAACATTTCATGACCACAAACATTAAGCTCAAACAGTCTAAGGCGCATTGAAGTTGACGGCTCCCTCCTGTCATCAGGAAGGGGTCGCTTGCCCGTGCCTGCTCCCAGCGGGGACACGCGCGTTGCACCCACAGCACCCCACACCCAAAGAAGGCTCATGCAGACCCCATCTCCACGTACTGGTCTTTTCTCTGGAGCGTCACCCACCGGTACCACCAGGAGCTCCGCACTAAACTAAGACTACTTAGTTGCTTGCCACATTCTTTGGTAGACAGGTACAAAGCTCAAGTCAAAATTATTTTGGATTGTGCTTCAAACTGCCAGTATACTTCACAGATGACCAGTTTGCAGCAGCCTACTACTTTAAAACAAGCAGATTTCAAATATTTTAACTTTTGATTTAGGCACCGCGTTACTTCTGCCTTTCAGAAGTTCACCATCTGCTGGGTTTACCTTTTAAGTCTCTCCGCGCTCCGGCTGCGCAGCCATCTGGGATGAGATAATTTGAACGGCAGACTGTTTCCTCCCATGTTACTAGAGAGGAAGAGCAGCCAAGCATGTATGAATAAAGTCTACTTCATTCTTTCAAACAAAGGTGGAGGAGGAGAATTTGAAAGTTAAATTAAAAAAAAAAAGGAGGGGGGGAGAAAACTAAAAATGGCAATCCCAGTTTCCATCTTCGACTGCACTATGACTACCAGAGCTGAGTCACAGCTACTATTGATTATAAATAAGCAGGAGAGAACAGAGCCTGACTTACAGATCCCAAGGTAAATTTGCAAGGCTGGCAGCTAGAAAGCTTTTTCATTTGCAAAGTGGAAAGGGGAAAAGAAAATTGGAGCAAAACAAAGCAGCTCTGTCTATACCCACCAAGTTGATTTTCAGACCAGAGCCAGCTGAAGCATTAGAACCTCCTGTCAATTATCCAGGGGGAAATCAGGTAATGGCACTGAGGGTAAGGGGACCTGTGCGGACTCGGGAAAACCCAAGTTTTCTGCATTTTCTATAGGAAAAGATCTTTTTAAGGTATCAAATGGCAAAATTTTACACTAGATGGACATAGAAGAAGCTTTAATTACCTATCATCTTAAACATCTGTCCTCTCACAGTTAGGTAGCCTTGAAACAATGACCCATTTAGGCTATTTTTTCCAGATTAAGCCACAGTCCCCTCTAAAATGCTTTGCTATTCAGAATACCTTAGCAGGTAGAGGAGTCGCTGAGGAAGATCATAAAAAAAATCCAGGTTATTTCTATGTCAGTCAAAAAGTTTATTCAACATTATAAAAATATTCAGGAGTCATACGGCAGAAATGGCAACACTTAAGAAGACTGCACGGTGACAGCTCCTGTGCAAGATCCCAAAAAGGAAGCTATGCAACCATTTAAAGAAGAGGTAACTCCACAGTACGGAAATAGCACTTACTGTGTCATTGTCAGCTCTTTCTAAAATCTTGACAAGCCTCTGCTTCAGGCGCACTACTTGTCTCGTTAGAGGGAAGCACCAAAACATACATCCTACACTTTGTCAAGGGAGTAATTCTCACCCAAAATCATTTTAAATTTGCATGACAGCACAAAGGTGAATTTGGAAACAGTCACCAGAACGTGCTCGGCACTGTGTGCCTGCAAAGGTGCACGGGTTCACTCGGTTTGATTCACTAGCCACTCAACTTTGGTGAACCCGCCATGGACAACAGTTCTTTTCCCACCTGTGAAACAGCAGTCTGTCAGAAAAGTCTGAAAACCCACACGCTCAAGTCACAGAATCTCAGAATGGTTGAGGTTGGCAGGGACCTCTACAGATCATCTAGCCCAACCCCTCTGCTCCAGCAGGGACACCTAGAGCACGTGGCACAGGGTGGCAGCCAGGCAGGTTTGGAAGATCTCCGGAGAAGGAGACTCCACAGCCTCTCTGGGCAGCCTGTTCCAGGGTTCTGTCACCCTCACAGTAA